ACTGTAAGTTGGAGGGAAAGTCATAAAACCCATGTAGATTTGCTAGCCAAGAATGCAGCTTCAGAAGGCCTGGTTGTTACCTTTGGATGAAAAATGTGCAATAATGCAAATCTTTTAAATGTGCAAAGTTTAGTTGTTAATTTACTAAAATTTTTACCGGTAGTTTTCTGCAACACCCTATTGTCTGAAGGGACTCATTGGTTGAGAGTCTAGTTCAGAGTGACTTTCAGGTTCAGATGCTACCCAAAATGCAGAGCTTATTACTGAAGTAGTGAACCGTTATACTGATGAAATGGATTCTGCCATACCTAGGTTACTTGGGTACCTAATCCAAATCTTGCATTCATGTTATTGAATTTCATGTTGTTTTTCTTTGAAATCACAGAAAGCAGAACATTTCATAATGTGACAAAATGAAAAATCTCAAAGTAGTTCCTCTGGCCAAACATGCAGCACACCACAGAAAAACAAAACAAAGGGAGTATATTGCAGATTTGTATCTGTATTTCAAACATAGATTACTACTTCCCTTTTGAAACACAGCGCACATGAAACAAGAAACACTGCTCGCGTTATATTGCTTTATTTTGGCACTGACCTTAGTGTAACACCCCATATACTAGAGCTGAACTATCATCAGCACTGTAGCGTTTTCATTGCATCTGATGGGCAATTGTATAGCAGTCCTAAAACTGCTATGGAAAAATGATCTAAGCCTCATATAAAATTTCAAATGGTGTAACTTTTCTGTATCTGAGGCTGTCTATGTTTTGGGTGATGTACATTGTCTGTCTAGAAGCCATTGTGACAATTTTTACAATGGTTTACCAAAATGGATAAATAAAAATTTATAGAGGGATTAAAGATTAAAACTGATGGAAAATTATTAATAACATCATCTTATTATCCATTCAGCACTATTTGTTCTTCAAATAATGAGCAAACAGATGTTAAAAAAAAATAAATGCACTGAGTTGGTGCTTTTGTAAGGAAACATTGGAAATGCACCTCTCCCTACTCCTAGCACTGCCAAATAGAATTACTTACTCTGCTTTTCACTATTTTAGAGTATTTTGAAAGCTAATGATATTTACACAGAGGAAAAGGATATGAAAATAAAGTAATTAGTTATAAAACAAGACTTGATCTATGCTGGCACCAGGAAAAAAAATAAGTCGCCCTGCTCTGAGGACAGGCCTTGTAAATGTATATAGCTTTCCTTTATTTTTCAAAACCGTGACTTCTGATTTTTAGATGCCCAGCTGAAGTACCTAGAGGTGAATACTGAAGTTCCTAGTGTCTCTCACAACACCTACTTTACTCCCTGGTAAAATCATTGCTCGTTTTGACATCATAAATCCTACTGAGTCAATAAAAAACTATACTCTACTGTGCTATATATATTTGTAACAACTTTCTCTCTTTTGGAAATGTTTCTCTCCTATACAGAATTTCTAAGCTGTGCCAGCCTGATTTATGACTTTTATGATTTCCTACAATGGCTTAAATTGTGGTCACAATGCCTGTTTCTAGTTCATGTTATATCATATATGACTGCAAACTGTTTAAGGCTAAAGAGAAATGGATTCATCCATTTTACTAACTAAACCTGTGCTATTTCTTTGGATGCTGTTTGCTGTCAGTATTGATAGTTTTGCAACAAATAATGTCCACAGGCTGAGTTTTCCTAATGGGCATCAACTAGACAGCATTGTATGGTCTTGGAAGCAAAACAGCAATTTCAGGTTGTAGGAATAAAATATAAACTAAAATATGGTCATGACACAGATGCACTGAATGATGGTGCTGACGCAATGTGCCATTTCTGAACCACTACTGGGAAAAAACGTATTTCAGTCTTTGAAGTACCTACCGTGTTCATGATAATATAAACTGCTGTGCAGGATAAATAGCTATAAAACCATTTTCACTACATTAATTTTTAAAATGTTTATTGTTCATTTTTGAAATGAACTATAAGTTTTAGACTACATCTCAGCCTTACTGTATGGGTATTCAGATCATGGCATGTAGCAGCTATAAAATTACCATACTTGTATGTATTAATCAATGATGTATATTTAAATGCATTTAATACAGTAAGGCTTTATTTTTCATCCAGATTTCCTTCAGTAGTTTCCTGTAGTGATGATTGTATAAGCACCTGAGCAATAACAGTAACACTAAACACTATTTAATACCAAATAAGAGGTCAGATTAGAGGTATTATTCCTTCTTGTTTCTGAGTTTTCTAAATATTTTATGAGTTTCAACTTTGGAACATTTGAATTAATCTGTCTCATTCTTTATTATTTGAACATATTATATGTTCAACTGTACTTTTAAAGCAGGAAATTCAGTGAATTTTAAGTAGGTAGGAAACGTTATATTGCTTTTATTTGCTAAATTAGGGCACAGAGAAAAGTTTGTGCTGTCTTTTGAAAACCCTGAAAATAAGATGAATCAGTATTTTTTAATATATGTGATTTAAGATGGAAAATTCTGAATTACTGAAGGCAAAGACTACTCAGGCTTTTGTGACCCTTCCTGACATTGCTCAATTCATAAATGAAGCCAATTTACCCTTGGCTTCTGTGGAGTCTCATAATAAATGTGGTTTCTAACAACAGCAAATACAGAAGTTAGAAAAAGGGAACTTTCTTTTATCTAATAAAAGAAACAAAACCAGTGGAGTCCATGAGGAGATAAAATCTGTGCAAATGCAGGTCCTTACTTTCACTGATTAAATGGAAGTAATAGTTTGAAAACAGCTTCACAAAATGGCATGCCTGCAGAGTCTCTACCTGCTCTTACATATAGTTTTGTTTAGAAATCTTGTTTCCAGGATATAAATTATTATTTTTAATTTTTTTTTTGGTGCAACCAGTGTGGTAATTTTAAGTTAAACAAATGCTAAAATGTAGAAGATATGCATGTTTGAGGTTTTTAGCCAGTATGATGAGAAATACCTGTCAATAGGAAATGAAAATGGATGCTAACTAACAAACATAACAAGAGTAGAGGGAAAAAAAAAAAGCTACAAAGCTTGGCCATTAATATGGTATCATGCATTCCTTTAGTGTGTATGTTAGTGTATTTAATCACTGCCACTTATAACTCAGTGTTCAAGACTTAAAAATCAAATTACACTTTTTATTTCCACTAATGTTCCTTACACAGGAAAGAGACAGTGTCAGCTCATTACTGTAGTGTTCTCCCATGGCTCTTTCCTGAGGGTGAAAAATACCATACCAAAAAAAACTTGTACTGATCAGAAAAAGCTTTTTAAAAGAGTTATAAACAGTAGGAAAGAAATGATGAAGAAAGTGGAGGAAGATAAGTGAACTTCCTAACAATTATCACCTTTTCTTCATAATTCCTATATCAGTTCCTATGGACTTAATGAAGAAAAATGCCTACTAAAGCTTTTTGTTTGTTTTTTTTTTTTTTAATATAGAAAGAAATCACATTGGTTCAAAAATCAATACTTACCACTGCTGGAATCAAGTCTGATTTCTTGCAGTGCACTGTGTTCTTAATCATGAGTCAAAATATCTTCTTGCTAAAATTATGCATGTGATGAGCACTGTGCAGCATAACAGAAGTTACATGTTAGAATCTACACATAAAAGAAAAGATGTTTTCTTTTGATTATTCTTTCTGATTAAAAAAAGCTATAGGTAGAGGCCACTAGGTAGGGATCAGAACCCTTTTTCTATATGCTGGTCCATTATACCCTTAACTATTGCTTTGCCATTATGATCGCCAAATCCCTATGATTTGGGGATTCAGCAAAGTTAGAGCAGAAAGCAACTTTATACTTGTTGTTTGGTTGGTTTGGTCTGTTGTGTTTCTTTGTTTGCTTTTTGGTCTATGCCCTGTCACCTGGATTAGAAAACAAGTATATATTCATTTTTTCAAGGTAGGCTGTTTTGTGGTTTAACCAGGCTGGGAGCTAAGCACCACACAGCCGTTCACTCATCCTCATCCCTCCCTCCCTGGGATGGAGGAGAGAATCAGAAAGAAATGAAAGCCTGTGGATTAAGATAAAGACAGTTTATTATGACAAAGAAAAGAAAATAATAATGATAATAGTACTACTAATAATAATGTGCATCACTTGTTTCATACACAATGCAGTTGGTCACCACACGCTGACTGATGCCCAGTCTGTCCCCAAGCAGATGGCCCCCCAACCCTGGCTAGCCACCCCTATATATTGTTTAGCATGACACCACATGGGATGGAACACCCCTTTGGCCAGTTTGGGTCACCTGTCCTGGGTCTGTCCCCTCCCAGCTCCTGCTGCACCCCCAGCCTGCCCGCTGGCAGGACAGTGTGAGAAGCTGAAAAGTTCTTGGCTTTGTGTAAGCACTGCTCTGCAACAATTAAAACATCAGCGTGTTATCAACATTTATTTTCATCCTAAATCCCAAACGCAGCACCCTGTCAATTACTAGGAGGAAAATTAACTCTATCCTAGATGAAAGCAGAACAGTAGTGCACATACAATGTGAGAATCTCAGATTAGTCCCTTTTAATTTATGGCGTTGTCATGAATGTGTAGGTACCATGCTGCACCAAGGAATATGCTTCATTGAGTAAGCATATCAATATCTCTTATCTATTTTTTAACTAACTTTTTTTTTCCAAAATTTATAGTATTGGTAAGGAATTGGAGTAATATTTTAATTATGTTTTTTAAATATTCAGTTCTACTTCAAAATGTTGTATTCTGGTAAATTTGTCCCCTATACAAATTCTTAGCAATGTCTTCTGTCTGTGAAGTAATCCTTACTGTGTTTTTAAGGAGAGCAATAGAAGATACTTAGTCATCAGCTAGTATACATAGGTGCACCTTTGATAACTTCAGAGAATGGTGCTTGTTAACAGTGACTGGAGATGTGCTCCAGAGGTATACAAAATACTTTGTGCTAAACTGCCTTTGTAGAAGCATAGGAAGTAGCAGAAACACAAGAAAAATGTTCTATTTCTTACAGGTCTGGAGCGGATATTATGCAATCCCTACAACTCTACTGGTGCACGCTGCCTTGCAGGGAATGAAGTTAAGCCATCAAAATATTCAGACAAATATTGACAACTAGCTGTGCAAACTGAGCGTTTCCTCTGTGAACTGTAAGTAAAAAGTTATGACATACCAGATCCTTACACAAATTTGTTTCACCCCATACATGTGATGCCACCTGCTGAACCACTTATTGTTTTTCCTGTCTGTCAGGAAATAGTTGGGGAACTGGTGTTCTTTAACTTGTTTCTTGTTTTGTATTTTTTTCTCTCAGATGTGTAGTAGGATGTGTGTGGCATATATTTACCTACACGTGCATACCAAATACATAGCAGATTGAAATACTGTTCATAACTGCAAGGGTTCGGTGCTTCTTGTTGAAAGCAAGCCATAAATCATGGAGTTTTATCTTTTTGGATGATACTATTTGCAGCTGAGCATCCTGCATATTTTTAGCCTAGCAATCCACAGAAGTATTTGAGTGAGAAGGCTTCTTTACTCCCTGCCACTTTTGCCAATGAGAATGCAGTTCTGAGTGACTTGTTTGTTCGTGCTTGGGAGTGAGATGCTGTAAGAGAAAGGGAATGTGAGAGGCAAAAGCTGAAAGAAAAAAAATCAGAAATAGCAGAAATCTTGACTCTGTTATTTGCACTCTGCAAACACCCCTGCTGAACATAATTATCTTACTAAAAAGCTTTTTCAGTATAGTTCATAGATCACGATAATTACTGAGTAAAGTTAGTACAAAAAAAAAGTTTATATATCATATACATTTGCACTGTCCTACTTGTGGATTTTGCTTGTGTTTCGAGGTGCTTCACAGTTTAAAAAGCTGAAAGATCATTGTCTTTAAAAGTCACATCATGTAGGTGCTAGAGCAATACAGCAGTGACAAAATGTAGGTGGTCAGCATGTCTAGGGCAATGCTGCATGTCCTGTTCTGGTGGGGTAGAATATCGAGCACTCCTTGTTACCTCACAGTGCCAAAAAGTAGAGAGATTAATGTGGACCTCAGAACTGGCAACAGTGTAGTCCTCATGTCAAGGTCCTTCAGACAGTGAAACGCTTCCTTTTGATCTGTTCTCTTTCCTCTGAGAATCTTCTGTAGCCTTTTTCCCTGCTTCTTAGACACTGCAGCTCCCCCCTCCACCAGAATAATACTTCTCCCTCCCAAGCCAATAGCTTTGGAGAGAATTGTTAACAATCGTTCTCTGATCTAGGATTATGCAACTCAAATACATAGACCATTAAAGACATGCAGCGCTAATGAGACACTTTTTCATTACTCTCTTTTCCTGAGATCTGGGGTCAGCTCACCCAAGGGACTCCCTCAGCTGCACACTCAGGAGCCCAGGTTTTGCATTTTGCTATAGTCTGTACTGTAGTCCTCTAAATAACGGCATCTATTAGCATTTTGATGAGACCCTACAGGTCCCCTGCTGCTATTTCCTTGTAACTCTCCCCAGACACGATGTGCCATGCCATCACACACTCCAACTGTACTACCTCCTGCACACCATCTTAGCCCATACTCACATCACTCTGCCAGCATCTCATGATATCTTTTATCCTTCAGCTTTCATTTTGTTGCACCTAGACCCATCGTTTTGCCTTAAATGTACTTTTCACAGTGCATTACCACTTTCACCCTAGGAGACTGACCATCAGGTGCCCATTTCCCTCCTGTTGAACAATCCCAGCTCCATTCCCTGGACTTGCACTCCTCTTCTGCCTTGTGTCTGCATGCAGATGTGCAAGCCCTGACCCTAACCCAGGTGCCTGGCAAGCAGTGGCTGGGCTGGGGATGTGCCAGCACTGGGGCACCAGCTTTACTGAGGGGAGCACAGCACTTAGTGCCACTTAGCACAGGACAGCAAGTTGTTGTGCATCACTTCTTCCAGGGTGCAGGCTTTTACCTTGTACTTAGTGTTACGTAGCCAAGGAGTGTCAGCCTGACTCTTGTTTATTATAGGTAAGATCAGGCGGTAAGCAAGATGCAACTGAAGAGTGGTAGGTCATTGCTAGGTGGTGGCGTGTTTGGATGACTGTGCACATGGTCAGTGGTCAAGAGGAGGCTGAAGTGCCTCAACTATCACAGGAAAAAAAAAAGCATAATATGAGCAGTAACTCAACTGGTGCCAAGTCTGCTGGGCACCTAACTCTTATCATTGCTTTGATGGATGGCCTTGGCTGGATCTCTTGCTCTGCATATGCCTTGCTTTTCTTCTCTGTGAGATTTATGTAATGTTATCAAATTGCTTGGAAAGCACTCTGAGGTCTAGTCATAAGAAGACAATGTAAGAGCTAGGTCTACTTCATTATTAATTTGCTTTCCTATCACTCATTGTATCTAACTTTGGGGCTTGCTTTCTTTTCTGTTACTTTAAAGTTTATTACATTACTGTTATCTTTCATTTGTGTGGCTGTAATTTTGGATATCAGTGCATACTTATTATCTAAGTAGTATATAAGTATGTGCCTACTGACCTTACTTCTTAGAATAAACTTTCTTCAAGTATTTGTTGCCCGCCTAAAGATTTCTTATAAACTCCTTAGTCATTAAAATTGCTAATTTTTACCATGAAATACAGCAGTGGAAAACATAAATATGTCAATTTGAATTTTAAAATATGCCTGCGTTTTGTTTTCTTAGAACTCAGTCCTGCAAGGTGATGAACAGGTTGTCCTGATGATTTCAAATGAACTGTTCACATATTTAACTGTTAATGAGATAAATATGTGCTTTGTTGGATTAGATTCTGCTGGACAAAGACCATTAAAATTTAGATATTCTGCCACACTGAGAAGAAACTAATTTCATAGATAAAGGCTGAACACCACAGGGGCAGTGTTTCTTAAACATTTCCAAAATGACACATGTAACTTGTATTTATCCAACCTTTTATAATATAGATTACATTCTCTCAAGATATTTTATTTTATTATTTTTGAAGGACTGTCGTCATGTGTAACTACCAAAGAACAAACCTAAGATTTTTATTTTCCATAAACTGATAGGAATCTAGACACCCACCTTATATGCCTAATTTTAACCTAAAACTAGTTTTTACATCTCATGGAAAAATAGAGGTCTGCAGCACATTTGCTGACACATCCTTAACTATAGCATTGCTACTGGGTTCCTCTGTAATACAGTACATATTTCTTTGTGAAAGAACTGAAAGCTGCAATAATAAAGCTTAACTTTATGGTATCGAAATTCTCTGTGTTTGTACCTCCAGGGAGAAAAACAATTAGAGAAAGACAATCTACCTAAATAGGCTGGGAAACTGAATTGCTCTGTGTATGCTTCATTACCCTCCCTCTTTCTCATCTCACACTTTCCACAAATAGCATGATTATGTTTACCTGACATCTTCATGCTTCCCTGCTGAGCAGGCTGAGGAAGCCTGGCAGCTGAGATCAGCTGTGCTTTCTATGGAGAACGAATTATATATATATTTTTTAAAGGGCCCAATTCTTGAGCTATTTCAGTGAGAAGCTTCAGAGTGTCCCTGACACTCAGGTAGGGAGCAGAATATATTAAATGACAATGGGCATTTTAAAAAAAAAATAAAAATAAAATAAAAAAAGGATCCTTGACAGTAACAAGTTTGGCTGACAAAATGTTGATACATCCTTAGTTGCTTGATACAAAGGCGTGTCTCGAGAATCTAAATGTTAACTTTGTGAACTGCATGGCTGACAGCTGACTAATTTTTTCTGGAAGGTGCCTCTTTTCAAAAGTGATTCAGGTATGCTTCTTTTCAAAAGCGATTTTGCCCTGCAAAATTAGCTCCTAAGGGTTGCACTGAAATAAAATGCCTTTTTACAGATAAAAAATCTTAATATAAAGAAAAAAGATCTAGAATAAGCTCTGCAGTGAAAGTTATCAAATGTTTTTTTCAGTGACTGCTTTGGAGAACTGAATCATAAATTCAGAAGAGCAAAAAGACTTGAGAAATATACAGGTTGCCCTTATAAGGAGCAGGTATTTTATTTTTCAGACTTCTCAGGTAATGGAGAAGAATTCAGCACTTTCTTGTTCTGAATTGCCAAGTTATAAATCTGAATAACTAAACTACAGATAATTGGACACAATTCCTCAAATTAGAAACCAATATTACATGTGAGAATTAATGACATTTCATTATGCATTACTGTCTACATTAATAAACTATGACTGTATTAGTCTTAGCAGCAGCATACAAGGCTCTATTTCTTGTAGCCCCTGGGATCTTGCTCTAAATCTAGTTTTAATCTAATGCTGTAGGAGCTGCAGAATAACTGAACTTGAATTCAGCTGAATGTTAGTTTGAAGCACCCAAATATACTCTGTGAAAACACTGTCATGGGATATGCAGGTACCTGTCCTCTGCTTTGTTTCCAGTGTAGTACAGATTTGTCAGTGTAGAATGCCGTGTGACTTTTTTTTTTTTCCTCCAGTGGAGTTTCTCTCAAATGTTAGCATATTTCTGTCTTCTACACATAAAGTCATAGTTATCATAATATCAGGCTTAATATCAGTAGCCTAAAACCCCGCTTTTACGTTGTGTTTCCTAGCAGCTGAAAAGACACTGGCTGTCAGAATTTCTGCTTTTCTCTGTTTTCATCTTACAGTGACCATGATCTGACCATGCTCTTCAGGTGCTAAAAGCTTCTTCTGAATAACTAGAACTCAAGATTTGTTCTACATCTTACAAAATGTCATCAAATGTAGAGCATGGAATTAATGGGCACCCCTGCTTTTCTGCCCTTTCACTGGTACCTCCTGTTGCTTGTTACGGTTAAAGATAATTCACTAACATGATGACTTGGCAACTCTCCCAAACTTTCCTTAAATACACTGTATTAAAATGAAATCTGTAGGTTTTGATCCTACTTTCACTGTTAGTGAACAACATCAGCTAGACTAGTTGAAATCAGAGTGATTAGCCTGGATGAAGACATGGTTACCTTTCCAACCACCTCTAATTCCTGCTCCATCATCTCAAAGCTAAGACATCCTGCAATGTTACAATAAATTGCTAATATTTCTGGCTAACAAACCTCAATCTGTTAGCAGACCTGCATTAATCATTGTGGGTGTCACGTTATTATTGGAAAACTG